ACTTATTACCCAGGTTTCATTCTAGGAGAGATTCATTCATAGAGATTAAACAATCAAGGCCCTTTATTTGGCTTCTGTGGCTGGTGTGCCCCTATAGAAGGCACTTACAAAGCAATGCCATGAACTTCTGGGCTGGGTTCAACTGTATGCTTGTTTACTGGCAGTCAGAGGTTACTGTATAGATCACAGAAAGCAGAAAATGGCAGGGGATCCTGGGAACATGGTGACCAGAGTATGGCTCCCTTATCTCCACTGCCAGTGCTGCCTATTTGCTTCTTCCGAGTCAAACAGTTGCTGGGGCCTACATGTAGCTAAGGGGCATTGGTGGATCAGTGGTAGAATTCTCATTTTCCATGTAGTAAACCAGGGTTCGATTCCCACCCAATGTAGCTCATGTGCAGCCACTTCTCTTCTCATTGGAGGCTTTTGTGTTGCTATGATGCTGAACAAGTTTCAGCAGAGCTTCCAGACTAAAACAGTCTGACAAGATAAGGCCTGGTGATCTACTTCCAAAAATTAGCCAATGAAATCCTATGGATCACAACAGTCTGATCTTTTGGTCAGTGTACATGGGCCCAGGGGTGACTTGACAGCCCCACATGTGGCTGGGTGTGAGGGAGGACCTCCCGTGGTTTTGTGAGTTATCACAGTAGAGGAGAACTGGTGTGAGGCCTTGTCTCCTGTGGGCTGGACAAGTACCTGAGCATCCTGAGGCAAGGGTTGTAAAATGGCAGCTCTTGAGAAGAGCTTGGTCTGCAGATTTGGAGTGCCTCCCACCCCTCCTCCCTCTACCCCCTGAAGAAGTTTACATACTAAAACTAAAATGCCTTCTAACTCAAAGGTTTTCTCCTATACCCATGGCATTTATAGATATTCAGCTTTCCCTCAAGAAACAAAGTTTTTCATGATTTATAACTGACGGGAAAAAAGGGTGGGTCTGATAGCTCTCTCGACAAGTTTTTTTTTTTTTTTTTTGCAATCAATCAAGGCTTTCAGTTGGGAAAGGCATGTTGCTCATTATAGTTAAAGTAAAATCTAAGAATCTTCATAACCTAAACTTACCTTTTGGAGGCTTCCTTTAAGCTGCAGCCAGTGTGAAATGTTTTATGTTCACAATTACAGCTTGCTGGGGAGAACTGTTAGGTGCCATAGAGTCGGTTCCAACTCATAGTGATCCTATATACAACAGGATGAAATGCTGCCCAGTTCTGTGCCATCCTCACGATCGTTGCCATTTTGTCCTAAATGTGCTGTTCCTAGCGGGCCTCACTTCTGTAAATATGTAAATGTATTCAGTGGATTAAGCAATTTTGGGTGTTGGGAGGCTTGGATTTTGGTTCTGTCTTAGGCTGTATTCTCTAGAGAAGCAAAAACAATGAAGAGTATAAACATATATAGAGGTTTATATCAAGGAAATGGCTCATGTGCTTATAGAGGTTGGAAAGTCCCAAGATCATGGGTCAGGCTGGAGGCTTCTCTTGACTCATGTAGCTGCAGCGGCTGGCTAACCCAAGATCAGCAGGCAAGCTGCTAGCTCAAGTCCCAAGAACTGGAGGTCAGATGAACAGGAGCCAGCTGCAGGATCCAGGGTGAGCAAAAGCCAGCGAGCTTTGCCAGAAAGTCCACTTATATTGGATGCAGGCCACACCTCCAAGAAAACCCCTTCAACTGATTGGCTGCTTATAACAGATCTCATCATGGAGGTAATCACATCATTACATTGCTGCCAAACTACATCAAACTGCCAAACCACTGAGAACCATAGCCCAGCTAAGTTGACACACAACCTTAACCACCATAGGTCCTCATTCTGGCCCTAAGTAATTATGTGATTTTAGGGAATATCATATTTTTTGTTTCTTCATTTATAAAATGGTGGGGGGGAGGGGGAGGAGTAGGACACGAGTAAGAAAGAGGCCATTTGTACCTTAGACAATTCATTTCCATAGAAATAACTGAGGGAGTTCTCAAACATGTGCCTAACTAAAACAGGGAAAATGATAAAGATGGGGTGATGTGGTCAGTATATGAAACAAAGCTTTAGTTCCACAGGGGTTGGAAGGAAGTTCACTGAGGGCTGGTAAAGTATGCTACCAAATATTTTTATAATGCTTTCTTCCTCTCCCCCCACCCTTCTTCTTTTTAATTACTGAGCTATGGGGAGATGTCTTTACAGTGACTGCTTTGAGCTCATATCTGACTCAATTACTCAAGGAAAAGGCAGCTTCTCCTACCGTTCGTTCGGGTGCCAAATTAGTTGTTATATGAAAGCAGTTTTGAGGACAGCCTTCTAAAAAATATATATTTCAATTTAAAGGAAAAGGAAAAATAAAAATTAACCTTATTGTGGCTACTTTCTATTTCGTCTCAAAACTAAATGGGGATATTGTTGTTATTATATATACTTAGCTTTTATAAACTAAAAATTAAGCTCCAAAAAGCATAATTAAACATTATTTTATTGCAAATCATAAATATACAGAAACATTGATTTAAAATTTATAAACTTTCTAGAGTGAACAGTATAACCATTTGAAAAATATAAAATTTTTGACCATAGAGTTCATTGAAAATATCTGAGAACATTTCATATATATTCACATAAATTACTTTTCCACAAAGCTTAGTTGAAAGGTAAAAATAGCATTTAGTTCAATTTTACTGGTTTTACCAAGGAAAATAAATATTTTTTGGAATCATTTCATATTGGTGTTGAGATAATATAATGATGGAATTCCCTTTCATTTGGATCATTTAAAATGAGCTAATGTGACTAAAATTTGGAAAAGATGAAGAACATGAAACTGGCAACCGTAGTTCTTTTCTCTTTAGTAATAAGACTACAAAAATTAAAATGCTGATTCAAAGAGAACTAAATTTTAGTAAGTGCCTAGTGGCACAGTAGTTAAGAGCTCAGCTGCTCACCAAAAGGTCAGCAGTTCTAATCCACCAGCTGCTCCTTGGAAACTCTGTGGGGCAGTTCTACTCTGTCCTACACGGTCGTTATGAGTCAGAATTGACTCAATGGCAGTGGGTTTGGTTTCTTGGCAGTATATGTTAGGCATGATGCAAAGTACCTTCCATTTACTTAATTTAATGCTCTTAAAAACAGGTATTCATTTAATTTCATGCTGCTAAGTCTAAAGGGTTTTATGACCATCCTGCATTCTGACCTAAAAATAAAATCAATAACCACTGATACAAGAATAAAATTATAAGCCAAAATATAAAGTAAAACGATTATCTTTACTGAACTAGGAAAAGCTTTCAATTTGTCCTGTGGGAGCACAACTTGGTAATCCTTAAGGATGTGCAGACATTTACATAATAAATATTAAGATATCTACAGTGATGATATAAAGTATATATGTATATACAAAACTACCAGTTAAGACTAACATAGTTAGTCTGACTATAGAGATCCAGCATTTTTCACTTCTTTCTTCCTAAGACAATATCTTCCTATTTGGGAAAAAATTAATTCTTAGTTTTAGATTTGCAATAACATTTTGCTTTTTCAATCCATATACCCACCACCAGCAATTTTATATAGAAAGTTTTTCAAACATTTGTTTCTCAACATAGTTCCAGTTGTTAAATCTTTTCAGTCTTCCTCCTAGACATATGTGTCATCACCAGCTCATTTTGCAATCCAGGGTACACATGGGTCCTTGTATTTCAAGAACCTTTGACTTGGGCAGAATGTATCAAGGACAAAGCTTTCTAACAGGTGACATTTAAGAAATGTCTGAAACTGTAATTTTATCACCAAGACAGTATCCTGGAGAAACCAGTAGAGGTCACAACAGGGAAAACAAAACACAAAAACCAACTTTAAAATAATTTCTACAATTGTCAAATACTACCTTTTCAGAAGATGCTTTACCTACAGACTTGTGTTCATAGCTTAGGTATTTGACATAGAATTAAAATGCAACAGCAGTCAATAGAGTAAACATGTATTTGACCTGAGGTATCAATGTCTTCCATAGATTATCAATTTTTAAAAATTTAGAAAGCACTGCATTGCACTCACCACTAACCTATGCTGAAGGGACAACTACAGCACTTTAGGACTTTGTAGTCATCTCAGGTCATCACTGTGAACATCAGTCATAATGCAATAGGACAGAAGAAGCTGAAGTCAGTTTAATTGTGAATAAGAATTTACTGTTATTATTCTAGGTAGGCTTAAGCTAGCTTAAAAAATAAACAAATTAAAAAAAAAAAAAACTTCTAATAAGAACAGAGAATGTCCAGTTAACCTGAATAGTTTTTTGTTTGTTTTGTTTTTTAAAGACATACTTTTTGGTTAGGATATTTGAGAGAAATAGTTTAGTCTAGAAATAAGATAGCCAATTTCTTTTCCATAGACTCAGTGAGTGATGGGAAATCTCTCTCTCAACATCGAAGACCACCTAAAAATGTTATGGTGTCCCTGGGTAGTACAAATGGTTAACGCACTCAACTGCTAACGGAAAGGCTGGTGGTTCGAGTTCAACCAGAGGTGCCCTGGTGATCTACTTCAAAAAAACCAGCCATTGACAACTCTACAGAGCATAGTTCTACTCTGACACACATGGGGATGCCATGAATTGGAACTGACTCGATGGCAACTGATTTAAAAATGTGAGTCCTGCTGTGTACTTGGAACAAAGCAGGAATATTTTACGAAAATTTTAACATGCAAAAGGTGTTCTTTCTGTAGTGGCCCCTGAGGTCTTAATATTTTGTTTTCCAGGAAGTTAACACCCCTTCCTCCTCCCTCGAAAACACTTAACAATGAAATGTGTGGAAACATGGCCAGGATGAAATTTAACAGAAAAAGACAATCTACCATTTATTGTGGGAGAATATATGTATTTTTAAAAGATTACTGACTAATTATAATTCCCATAATAACGGTGAAAGCAACGAATTTCAAGAGAACCATTATAATTCAAGTGTTTCATAAAGATTTTTCTCATTTCAAAACAGTCTATAAAACTCACTCTTTGGGCATCAAACATTTGAGAAAGATTGAAGTATACAATATAATTCTGAAATAATTTAACAATTATTTTACAAACACCTCTACCTCAACAATAAAACTAATCTTTGAAACAATAGTAAAAGGAAAAAACTAAATGAATGTAAGTAACTCCAAAGCTGAATTAATTTGGACTTCTCCAGAAACTCAATTTTATCTTAATTTTATCCAGGTGTGAATTTAAAGAACCTGTGAACAAATCATTTGTGTTTGTGCTTTTGTGAAAAGCAAAAAAAAATTGCAGTTCATATACCTAGAGTTAAAAGTACTTTTCTTCATTCCCTCATTCCCTCCTTTTTAATTGGTAATAAACTCCTATGATATGTCAATAAATTACAATTTTTAAGTCAGTAGTTTAGAAGTACTTCATGAGTAGGCGTATCTTGTATATTCTAGCCCAATAACAAACAGATTTCCAAAGCAGGCCTATTTTTTCTTTAACATTTTGTCCACTAGCTATCTAGTTGAAGAGGAAGGAAGGTGTGGAAAGGGGAGAACAAAGCAACAGTGATCTTGCTTCTCAGTTTTAATAATTCGAAACTATGACTCATCAGAGTATGGCTGATACTCTGCTTATTAGAACACAGTTAACCTTATCTATGAACTACCATGAGGCTAAGGATAGCAGCCAAAGAAATGAAGAGCCACATGGCATAGTCAAATACATGGTGACCAGAAGAGATTGTTCTGAGGCTCATATAACTCTTCCATTTTTTTATGTTCAGAGAATATTTCAAGTTTGTAGAAATAAATATAAGCAGGAGTCTTCTGGAGAAGGATGAAAACCTTGATTTTCAAATTTGATGGCCAAACATGAAGGCATTTTTACTTGGCCTCACGTCTAAATTATAGTCAGAACTTTAAAAAATGCCACCTTTCCTAATAGTTCTTCCAATGAGCAGGTAGGTATTCCTTTTCCTCTCCAAATGTCTCATATTGGTTAAAATGGAGGGTTTCTAGAGACTCTGACCATCAGTCCTGCTAAACAAGGCATGGTCATCATTGTATCCTAGGGTTGAGCACTCCATATTCTCTAGTAAAGTATACTTGTCTTCATTGCCATTCAGATAGGGGACCTCTTCCTTAGCAGTGGATGTCAGCTGATTCCAGGTAATGTCAGTGTTTTTAAAAGCATGCAGAAGAAAGATGCCATTGATAATGGTCAAGAACCCACTCAGGGTCCCAATGATATCTCCAGCTTTCATGCCATACCACTCCTGGAATAAGATGGCAGAGCAAGTCACTACCATGGACGTGAAAAACACATAATAAATGGGAGTCACAAGAGATGTATTAAAGGTGTCCAGTGCCTTGTTGAGATAGTTAATCTGTGTAGCCACTGAAAGCACAAGTACAGCCAGCAAAACAAAGACCAGAGGATGCTTGTAAACGGGCTTCCATTCTAATAGTTCCTTAATGGCAATTCCTAGGCCCTTTACAGAGGAAACTGAAAATGCTCCAATCATTGAACAGATTGAAATGTAGACCAATATATTTGTCTGTCCTTTTTTTGGAGCCACCGCCAAAATCAGCACCAAGGAGATTACAGTTATGATAACCGCAAAAGATATAAATCCTGTTAGGAAGACAAAAGAATTAGACTTTAGAAAATACTAATAGGATCATGCCTCTCTGAAAATCTTGCTAGTCATGAATTTAAAAGCATAGGTGTTTTAGAACGGGAAGTGAGATCAAAACAAAACAAAACAAAAATTCTATTGTGTAGGTCTCAACATTAAACAAGACTGTCATAAGCATATTTGAATTTCACAAATAACAATATGAAGTAGGATTACAGACCAATATCCCTCATGAACACTGATGCAAAAATTCTCGACAAAATTCTAGCCAATAGAATTCAGCAACATATCAAAAAAATAATTCAAGTGGGATTTATACCAGGTATGCAGGAATGGTTCAACACCAGAAAAAGAATCAATATAATCCATCACATAAATAAAACAAAAGACAAGAACCATATGATCTTATCAACTGATGCAGAAAAGGCATTTGACAAAGTCCAATACCCATTCATGATAAAAACACTCAACAAAATAGGAATAGAAGGGAAACTCCTCAACATAATTAAGGGCATTTATATAAAGACAACAGCCAACATCATCCTAAATGGAGAGACTTTGAAAGCATTCCCCCTGAGAACAGGAACCAGACAAGGATACCCTTTATCACCAGTCTTATTCAGCATTGTGCTGGAGGTCCTCGTCAGAGCAATTAGGCTAGAAATAGAAATCAAGGGCATCCAAATTGGTAGGGAGAAGTCAAAGTATCTCTATTTGCGGATGATATGATCTTATACATAGAAAACCCCAAAGAATCCACAAGAAAACTACTGGAACTAATAGAAGATTTCAGCAAAGTTTCAGGATACAAGATAAACATACAAAAACCAGTTG